CTATGAGATGGATTGATTTGGTGACTGGGGTAATCGGGATGGGTGTGTCAGAGGCGGTGCGGTTGGCGCAGGATAGAGCAGGGTTTAGAGCTGTTGTGTATAGGGTCGCTATGAGTCGGAAACGACTCGACGGCACATAACAACAACAACAACAAGCTCTGCTTTAGTAAAAAATTGTGAGGGTTTTTTAAATTTTATTAATGATATTACTTAAACAAACCACTTCAGATTTATTCTGAAAACTAAGAGCTAAATTTAAGCTTATTGGTGGTACCTAATACAGATTGCTATAATAAACAGCTGAAAACTTTCCGACACCAGTTAATAAAATTATTCTTATTTACCAAATCATCTTAATTTATAAGACTAGGAAAGCTTCAGTAACTGGAGCCAAGGTGTTCTATGAGAAGTTAAGTGTGTCTGTCTTTTAATCAATATTTATTTAATTAGCTAGACTTGTAAAGAATTGTATTGTAAGTGTTTTTGCTGTAAAAGGTCCCCTGAAGTGGTCTGTCCATTGACCCCCTCACAGGTTATGGGCATGACATGGGGCCCCTGTATTTGCATGAGGGAAGAATACAGAGGAGAGAGTGAAAAGGGCAGTGTGTTGGCCAGGGTATTAGCTCATCTCCAATGATGAATGGATGGTGTCATTCCAGTAGAGGGATAGTATAGGTGAAGGCCTAGAGATGGTAAATGCATGATAGGTTCATCAGAAAGCTGTGGTGATTGTAGTCATAAACTCTTGCCCTATCTTTGGGTTCTAGGTCCAACCCGAAAGATGCCCCCCAGCGCCAGTGCCATGGACTTCTTCCAGCTCTTTGTTCCTGACAATGTCCTGAAGAACATGGTGGTGCAGACAAACATGTACGCCAAGAAGTACCAGGAGCGATTTGGGAGTGACGGAGCCTGGGTGGAGGTAAGCCTGGCAGAGATGAAGGCTTTCCTGGGCTACATGATCTCTACCAGCATCTACCACTGCGAGTCTGTCCTAAGCATCTGGAGCAGTGGCTTCTACAGCAACAGAAGCATTGCCTTGGTCATGAGCCAGGCCCGCTTTGAGAAGATCCTCAAGTACTTCCACGTCGTGGCCTTCCGCTCCAGCCAGACCACACATGGGCTCTACAAGGTCCAGCCCTTCCTTGACTCCCTGCAGAACGGCTTTGACTCTGCCTTCAGGCCTTCCCAAACCCAGGTGAGGTGTTTCCTCTGAGCAGGGCAGCCAGGACATGGGGGAGGAGTATTTTAGGTTCCCTGCGATTCTCTGTTCACTGGAGCTGCCGGCAAGGGGGCAAGAAGAAGCAGGAATGTAGACTTGGGAGCTTCTTCCTCTCCTGCTTCTACCTGGAGTTCAATTCTAGGTTCACTCTGATTTCTTCCATTCCATTAACCCATATATTAGGTTGGAGAAAAGTAGTAGTATAAATAGCCCCAGGTCAAAATTCAGTATTTTACTTTCAGGTGCCACTTCTCTCTTTTCTTTTCCGCATCCTCCCTGTCCTTTAATTAAACTCTCTCTTTGAGTTAACATTTTGCTCTGGCTAATATTAATCTTCTTGTTATAGTCTCTGAGCATGTATTTCCTTGTGGATGGTGAAAAATAAATTAGAAACCACCTAGGTGGCAAAAGAAAATGAGTCTGCAGTTTCATTCTTCAAGTACTCAGGAGGTCCTCCTGGCCACAGTTGACAGAGCTGTGGGTCTTTGTACCACTGTATAAAGGGCCCAGAACCTCCTTAATATCTTTGCTAACTTCTTTAGCCTGTTCCAGAAGACTGTTTGCTCTCATCTCAGCCTGTCAGCCTGTGACAGTTGCATTTGACTGTGGTAAACCAGTTTAATCCTCAAAGTTGTTATACTGCTCTGGCAAACTGGGAAGTGGCAAATTTATAAAAATGCCTGTTACCCACAATTCTACAGAAGCACATGCCAGAATATTAAACAAGAAATTCTTGGCCAATGTGAACTCAATGTGGAGACAAGATGAGCTCACTATTAGGGTGTCTGGGGAAGTAGAGGCTAATAACCAACATGCTGATCAGTGTTAGAAAGTTTAGAAAGTTTCTTTTCTGGTGTGCATAGTGGGAACCACCACTTGCTCTGTGTTGGGTTTAGTAATGAATGGCCTATTCATGATCAGTTTCATGACTGTAACAAATGAGGAACACATCATGGAAGGTCAGAAATGTTTGTTGACCCTTTTGCTTTGATGAGGCATGAGGTTAAATATAAATTCGCTACTGAATATATACTAAATGCAAGAGAAATTTTCTTTCTGAAGATGACAGAGAAAAAGGGCAATTTCATTTAATATGGCCTAGGGAGAAAAAAGATAGGATCTGCTTCTTTGGAAAAGATAATTGGGCAGGGAACAGGCAGGCAGCAAAGGGCTTTATGCCGTTCTGTTTCATCTCCATCTGCTCCATTCCCCACTGCTGTGGGTGGAACGCATAGCTTTTGCTAGAGCGGTGCCAGATGGGACTTTGAACATTTATAGCTACAAAGAGCCAGCAAGCGCGTGAAGCTGGGCCTGAGTGGCTGGCAGCATCTCAGCCAGGCCAGCTTCATCAGCTCTCCTTTCATCATCACAAGACAGCAGTTTTGGGTTATTGTAGCCATGTATGCCAAAGCTCATGGACAACTATAACTGAAAAAAATGTTATACTGCTGTTTTTTAAAAATGAAGTTCAAGGTAACAATGTTAAAAGAAGGGATGAAGACTGCCTAACTCACAGGTGAGCATCAACTTTATCTTATCCTCTGTCCTTTCAGGGCACATTGTGGCCTTTGTGATTCAAAGGAGCCTGTGGACATCAGCATCGCTCATAAGGTTGTTGGAAATTCAAAGTACCCAACCAAAAACTGCACTTTAATAAGATCTCCATGAGATTAGTTGATAAAATGTAAAAAGCCCTGATCTCGAGTGGACACTTGCCCATGAGACAAATAGTAAATATTTTCGATTTTGTGGGCTATATGGTCTGAGTTGCAGTTTGTCAGTTATTTCCATTGTAGTGTGAACATAGGCACAGGCAATATGTAAACATAGAGCATGATTATGTTCCTCTAAAATTTTATTTACAAAATTAGACATGGAATTGGATTTGACTGAGTTGCCATCCTCTGATACAGTACATTAAGTAGAGTTCTTGGACTCATACTGTTTCCTACAATCTTCATTTCCATTAACCACAGCAAGCTAATTAATAATTAAGTTCATAACAGGAGAGGAAAATATGGATCCAAAAAACTCCAGCCTCCTGCTATTGAGTCAGATCCAACTCCTAACACCCTCTGTCAGGTTTCTGAGGGTGTAAATTGCAACAGCTGGGGCCTGTCCATCTTTCTCCCATGGAGCATCTAGCTGGTAGATTTGAGTTGCCATAAGCACCACCTCTTGATTAGCAGTGCAGCATCCTGGTGGCAAGGCTCTCAAATGTTACCAAAAAGCTCCCAAATTTTTAGCTTGAAAAAAAATTTCTTTTAATTTATTTTTTATCATTTTTGTTGAAAGCTTACAAAGCAAATTATTTTTCCGTTCAACAATTTATACATGTTTTGTTTTGTAACACTGACTGCAATCCTGCTACTCCTTCCCTGTGTTTCCTAGTGTTTCCAGTTTCCATTCCATTCTTCGTCATCATTTCTTCTGAGCTTTGCTGTTTTTCACAGAGGTAAGCTATATATGTTGCAGAATGGCCCAGTCCTGTGTCATCTTCACATCCTCACAGCTGTTGTTATGTTTCAGCCTTTTGTCATAGCCACACGATCAGTCTACATTGTTAAGGGCCTTTCTCTTTTCCCCTGGCTTTTTCTCTTACTCAACATGATATCCTTCTCCAGGAATTGGCCCCTCTTGATAACATGTTCAAAATAGATGAGCTGTAGTAGTCTTGCCATCATTACTTCTAAGGATTGATGTGTCTGTATTTCATCTAAAACAGGTGAGTTTGTTCTCCTGTCAGTCAATGGTCTATTCTCTATTCCTTGCCAATACCATAATGCAAAAAAGCATCATTCTTCAGTCTTCTTTATTTGTTCTTTATTTGCTGTCTAGTTTTCATATGCATATGAGGCAGAATGTGGATGAGCTTTCTTCCTGGGTGAATGTTGCCCTTATGATGTCATGTGGTTGGTTCTAGGCATGCATACCTTCCTGGTGTTCTTGTTCACTTTGGAAAGGAAATTTTGGCTGTGCCTTTGGATACTATTTTTGTTGTGCTTTTTTATTTTATTTGTCTTCTCATTAACAAATCATACGACTTTGTATAAAAGTAGTGGAAGTAGCTTAGGGACAGCTGATTCTGATCTCTATTAATTCCACAAAAGGGAAATGTCTCATCAACACAGTTCACGGTACAAACCCACTTCCCATTAGGACAGGCGTGATCTGCATGCTGCCTCACGTGCTTCTACTAAATTTAACACCAACCAAGGGCACTTACCTCTCTGCTGCTAGATCATAAATCCCTAATCCAACACAGACCTCTCAGGGTTAACAGATTATAATTCATTTTGGCATCAGGATATATCTCCTAAGTCAGGAAACGTCTCAGGAATGCTCATGGGCCCTTCAACCTTCAGGCTTATGGTTAGGTCAGTGTCTCAAAGAAAGTTTTCTTAGTCCAATTATGGCATCTCTCCCTCTGTTGCACTCCACCCCCATTAGTCCTCCAGCAAGCTTAAACAAAGGCCTCCTGGCTCTGTCTCCATGAGGCAGAAGCCCAAATCAGTTTTGTTCTCTCCTGAGGCCACTGCTGCTCTCATGTAGGTCTCTGTCTGTCTGGCTCAGGAATCTCTGCCCCTACTGGGTATGCTCTGTGTTCTCTGCTTCCTTCTTGCTCATGGTGAAATTTTCTATCTTCTGTTATTAAACCTACTCAATTTAAACCTAATGGGATGAGGAAGAGACCCATCCTTTAATGAGTTATTTACACACACCTTATTTCATGTTCTCACCCAGCCATGTGGTGAAAATCAAAGCTGTCAGTTAGGAAAGTAATTTTGAACAACTAACCCGTGCACTATGACTTGTTTTCAAGAAAAGTCGAAACAATGAAAAAACTGATATTGACAACCTGGAAAGCTGTATCATTATAACAAGACCTATTGAATGACTTTTTTTTTTTTACAAGAGGAATACTTAGCTGAAAAAGATTTGGGGCTTACATGAGATCTAGTGACACTTTAAAGAAATGGTGTGAATTTTTTCTTTGTTTCTCACTGGAACAGAAGTCAGATCAGTAGGTTGAAGTTAAAAGTGGGTAAAATTTGAGTTATTGAAGGAAAGAGAGTTTTAGCAGTTAGAACTGTATATTGGAGAGAGAAGTGTTTTGGAAAGGAGTAGGAGATCCACCACTGGGCCAAAGATTCCTCCACCAGGTGAGAGTTTGACCTAGAAACCATTTCCAGAGTAGTAGCTAAATGTCAGGGACTCTCTCTCTATATATATATGAAAGTACTTTGCACAGCCCTGTACACTCGTTCCTCCCTCAAACAATAGTCTAGATATTGATGTCACTTTTTTACAGTTGAAGGAGCTCAGGCTCAGAAAACTAAAGTAATGTAACCATAGCCTTCCAGTTAGCCAAAGGCATAGGCTGGAACTGAGCTCACACTACCTCCCTTGAAAACCTCTAACTTTGCCTCCAATCTCTTGGCAGGTGCTACATGAACCCCTGATCGATGAGGACCCGGTATTCATTGCCACATGCACAGAGCGTGAACTGCGGAAGAGGAAAAAGCGGAAATTCAGCCTATGGGTCCGCCAGTGCTCTTCCACAGGCTTCATTATCCAGGTGAGCCAGGGAAGTTGGCCCACGTGCAAACAGGTGAACTTGTCATTTACCTTTCTCACTGACTCAGTGCTCCAGCTGAGGCCAGGCCTGTGATGTCCCATCCTTCTGAAGAGCCCCTGTCATAGCTAGCACTATGCCAAGCATGGTCCTTCTCACCTCCAAGCCCGCTAGTCAAAAGCAGCCTTAACCACTGATCATGGCTCCAGCCTGGGCAGGTCAATTCTCTGGGCCTGCTACCTATCAACAATAAACCTCAGCCAGGGTGTTCAATCAGCAGAGACCTTGACACTTCACGGAGAGTACAGCAGTGTGGCCGTCCCAGAGGCCACCTCACTTTGAAGTTCTCTCCACTACCCAGTCCTGAGGATGCCTTCTTCATACGGCCCACTAGAAGTCAATTGTTTAAGTTAGGATGTTTGTGAGAATTCCAAGTTCATGAGCTTAGAGCAACATTGCCACCTGCTTCCTGCTTTCCCCTGCTCCAAGCAAGCTTTCACTTAGTACTTTAGAAGAGGTGGTAGAACTCTGCCATGGAGCCTTGCTTCACATGAAGGGCTAGGTACAGAGTATGCACAAGACGGGAGTGGAAATCTTAGTGGCCTCTCTTCCTGGGCTGCTCAGTGGTGCCTTCCCCTGCCATCCAGCACGTAGGGGCATGATGACTGCAGCATTCCATGCATACTCCCCACAGAACTGCACTCCAGAGTCAAGGCATAGTGTTTTGCACTGTATCTTTTCCTGAGCTACTAAGTCCTGTGAGCTGACAAAGGGATCATAAGAGGATTCAGCTGAGCATCTCACCACATCTGTTTTTGAACAAGGAAAATGCCCACACCCCAGGGTAACCCTGCCTCAGACACACCATACCAACTCCTTCTGCAGGTGGTGGGGACCTTCAGGTGGGGGTGGGCCAGGATTTTCAGCCTAACCCTAGGTCTGAGTCTGCTCTTGTCAAGAAGTTGCCCATGTTCCTGAGTTAGCACGGACTTTTCCCAGAGCAAGACTAACTCTTGTCCCTGCTCTGTCTTTGCCCATGCTCCAGTGACTCTCTGCTACCTCGGGAGTTCTTCTTTACAACCATCCTGCCATAGAGTCAAGAGGGCCTCTGATTCCTTTTATAACATCCCTCTACAAAGGCCTATCATTCACTCTTTCAATAAGTGTTGACTGAGTGCCTGTTATCTGACAAGTGGTATGATGGGCAGTAGGAATGCACCCACCATGATCTCTGCCATCTTGGAGATTTGTCTGTTTAACTTTTAAAATGTGCATGTGTGGAGTCTTTGTGGACTCAGCACCATTTCGTTTTTACTGTGAACTTGGTAAGTAGATGGAAAATCATGCCCATTTTCTTGCAAAGCTACCTGTGTTTCTGTATCTTGGTACATATTCCTACCCACATCTCTAGGACCTATCCATTAAATAAGAAATGTGGATTCCTTTTATTTCTAAAATTCCATGATTCTAAGATGCTTTGAGGCAGCACAGAAGTTTGTTTTAGAAGCTGATGTTTCCTAATCAAAAGTTGTCGAGTCTTCCACAATTTCAAGGGGTTTCTCTGCAAAGCACCAGGGACAGTGGCCTTGTGGGAAGGGAACATTTATGCTTCAAGTATAAGTAGACTCCTGATGAGGGAGAAGCAGGACTTAACTCCTATTGCATGTGTCTGTGACAGGCAATGAGGCAGTGTGACAGTTGATGGATGTGCAAGATGCCAAAAATGAGCTTTATTATTTGGGGGGCCATTGTCTTTTCAGTGGTGTGCTACATATTATGCTGTTAACCAAGAGGCCAGTGATTCAAATCATCCCTGGAGAAAGATGATCAGTTTCCTCCTGTACAGATTTAAAGCCTCAGAAACCCAGGGAAGAGTCACTATGAGTCCAAATCGACTCATAGTGGTGGTCAATTTTTCTGTTTGTTTGTGTTACTCATCTTTTTCTGGGCCTTATTCTTGTTTAACTGCTTCTTAATGTCAGCAGCCTGGCAGGACCACCATGGGGTGGGAGAAATGGAGAAGAATCTACACTCAAGCTCTTACACAGTTATTTTCTTGATAGCCTGTAAGGTACAGTGGTTGTGGTTTTTTCCTGATTTTATTGAGGAAGATACTTAGGCTCACAAAGATTATATGTTGATCAGCTGCAGACTCAACACTTAAAGACTGAGTCTCCTGTGACTGGGGCTGGCTTTTCCCACGTCCATCTTCTATAATATAGTTTTTGTCCCATTGGCTGCACAATATTGTATTATTGTTTAATTTCCAAATATTTTGTGAAATTTCCAGTTTCTTTTTGTTACTTATTTTTAGCTTTATCTCATTGAAGTCAGAGAGGATAGTCTGTATTATTCATTCTTCTTAGTTGAGAATTAATTAACTTAATTGAGTCCTAATCTATGATATAGGAAGTCTCGGTGGCTTAGTGGTAAGTAGTTATGCTGCCAACCTAAAGGTGGTGGTCGTTATGTGCCGTGGAGTTTCCTGAAACTCATAGGGACCCTATGTACACCAAATCTAAACCCTGCTCTATCCTATGCCAATCTTATTGTCTCTGACACACCTCTCCTCATTACACTAATTACTGAATCAGTCCACCCCATCAACGATCTTCCTCTCCTGCACTGTCCCTCGACCCGCCCAAGCATGTTGTCCCTTTCCAAGGACTTATCCTGCCTTGCAACATGTCCAAAGTATGCCAGACGAAGCTTCAGAATCCTTACCTTCAAGGAGCAAGGACAAAAGTCCAAAGTATGTGAGACTGAGTTTCAAAATCCTTACCTTCATGAGCAGTGTGGTTTTAGCCTCTTCAGGATGAACCTGTTTGTTTTCTGGGAAGTCTATGATATATTCAGTACTCTTCTCCAGCACCACAGCTCAAAGGCATCAATTCTCTTTCTATCATCCCTAGTCATTGTCCAGCTTTTTGATGCATAGCAAGTAATTGCAGAGACCATGGCCTGAATCAGGCACACCTTAGCCTCCAGACGGACATCGTTACTCTTCAGTATTTTGGAGAGATCTCTGCCAGCAGACTTTCCCAATGCAATTCGTCTTTTAATTTCCTGGCTACTGGTACCAAGAGTGTTGATTTTAGAGCCGAGTAAACTGAAGCTGTTGACAATCTCAATCTCTTCCCCATATGTCATGATGCTGCCAATCGACCCAAACCCAAAGGTACACCGTTCAAACTAACTCCTGTGCAATTTACTGTCTCTGAAAACCTGCTGGAAGGTCAGCTATGCATCAATTCCTACTTGATGTACATAACAACAATGTATAATATATTCTGAAGAATGGTCAACATACATTAGAAAACTCTGTGTTTACTATTGTTGAATGGAATATTCTATTTATTATTCTATTTATATCTATTTTGTATAGATGGTTTATAGTATTATTCAAGTTCTTAGTTTCTTTACTCAACTTTTGGATAGGTTTGCTACCTGTTGTTGAAACAACATCTTAAAGTGTTGTTATTATGTTCTATCAAGTCCCTTATGACTCATAGCAACCCTATATGAAAAAGCTCTGAACCCTGCTCTATCCTAAGTCAATCTCACTCTCTCTGACACACCTATCCCCAATACTACAGTTACTGAGCTGTCCATCTGGTCTAGGGTCTTTCTTTCCTACACTGTCCCTCCACCCTTGCAAGCATGATGTCCTTCTTCAAGGACTGGCCTCTCCTGACATGTCCACAGTATGTGAGACAGAATTTCAAAATCCTTGCCTTCATGAGCAGTCTGGTTTTACCCTTTCTAGGACAGAACTGTTTGTTCTCTTGGAAGCCCATGGTATGTTGAATACTCTTGGCATTTTGAGTACCAGTTGCATTTTGGGTACCTCCAAACCTGAGGGCCTCATCTTCCAGGATTATATACAACAATATTCTTATGGAATAACCCAAAAGGGTTTTGGAGACCTTTTATGTCAGAAGTGGATAATAAATCCTCCTTCTTAGTCTAGAAGCTCTACTGATTTCACCACTGATCTATCAGTTTGCATATGTTTGTGGCTAGTGTGTTGTTTGCATTGTGTAGGACAGAACAAATATCATTACAGACCAAATAGACAATTAAGTGACTTTTTAATTTACTCATGAAGTTATCTTTACCAAAAATCTTTATTTTTTTCAAATGACTTCAAGTTAACTATATGAAGCATTTTAATTTCTACCTAAAGACTTCCCTTCAATATTTCCTATGAGGAATTCATATAGTAGCAAAATCTCTTACATTTTGTTTGTCTGGGAATGTCTTAAGTTTACCCACATCTTTTTTTCTTTAATGTATTTTTTTTTATTTGAGTGAGTTTATAAATCCCACTGGTTTTATTTCAGATAATCATTCATAGATACTAATCACTATTGATCGATGCCATTAACTTATTACAGCATCTAAGTAAAGCCTTATGGTATACTCACCTTCTGTATTTGTTGGTTTTTCCTTTTCTGCCCTATATCCCCATTGAATCCATAGTTTATGTCCTGTTCTAATTTGTTATTTGCCGTACTCATGTCTGATTCATCTATCACCTTCATATTTTTTTTCTTAACTCATCTATATACATTGTGTTTCATTCATGAACATTGTATTTTTCAATATTTATTTTATTTTTGCTTGCATACATTGTGTTTCAAACTGTCCTTCATTCACATTGTGTTTCATACTATCATTCCCATTCCTTATGTTTTAGAAAAGTAATCATTATTGAACTAGACTCACCATTACCCCATACTGCCAGATCTCCCCATCCCTCCATTTCCCCACCTCCCTCCACCCAACAAATTGTGTGATCCTATAATAGCGTCCCCCATCCTCACTCCTCTGTCCCACCCCTCCCCCACTTGGATCCCCATACACATTTTACTAGTTGTCCTTCTGTTTTTACAATAATGGTCTTAAGCAGTATTTATCCTTGTGAGACTGTGTTCATTCACACAGCATAATGCCTTCCAGTCTCTCCCAGGTTATATAGTACTTTTCGAAATGGTTGATCC